ACACACTTATTTAAATAACTAGAACCTAAAACTCACACTCAAGAGAACCACTCTTAAGATATAGATTTAGGAATTTAAAATAGCACACACAAACAAGTGTATTACTAAGTTGGAAATTGGGAATACAATATATGTGTTTACAATGCTCAGGGATGAGCTTATATAAGCATAGAAAAAGGAGACTACCAAGTCTCTTATTCACACAAACTAAAGGAATTAATGGCCACATGTTGATGTTCTTTTGGTGGGGGAAAACCACAGGGGTGATTGTACTTGTAGGGTAGGATTCTTGGCCATTAGTGGTAGGAGGGAATATGTGAATATAATTCACAATTGATTGGCTTTGGGTGGGGCTGTTTTTGGGCAGGAGGAAAAGTTGGATGGTAGGCTATTTGGATGCATTTCCTGGGCAGGATATGGGGGAATCAAATGGGGTTGAAGGGTGTGGGTGTGGGAAAAGAGTCTTGGATTTTTGTGGCTGTTTGTTTAGCCAAGTTGAGGTGTAAGGAAGTGGTAATTGCATGGTTAAGGGCTAAGGTTTTTGGTCAGGGATGGAGGGAGGAAAGGTAAGGAAAAGAAATAGAGTTTTGGGGTTTAATATTTTTTTGGATATTTAGGGGATTGGTTTGGATGAGAATGGCTGGGTTTTAAGTGGGAGTTGGGCTCAGGGAAATTATGGCTATGTGGCGGATTTTAGGATTGATAAGCTCGGTCCAAAAGGGATCATAACATTTAGCCATTATTCCATTAATTTGCTTAACGACTTTAGAGTCGTTGGTAGTCGCCCGGGGTATATCATCCTCCCCTTCTTCAAAAGAGTTTGTCCTCAAACTCAGAATTTCTTCAGGATCAAAGTACGAGCTGATGTCCTTGATGTTGAATGTGGCCGATACTCCATAGTCTCTTGGAAGGTTGATTTTGTAGGCATTGTCATTTACCTTCTCCAATATCTCAAAGGGTCCATCGGCTCTCGGTAACAGCTTCGACTTGCGTTTCGTTGGGAAACGCTCTTTCCTCAGATGAATCCAAACAAGATCTCCTAGTTGAAAGTGGGCGTCCTTCCTTCCTTTGTTGATGCGTGCACTAATCTTCTCATTCATAGCTTCGATTTTGTCTCGAACTTTGTTGTGAAGGTCCTGAATTTCCTTCGATCTCTTGTCTGCTTCCCAACTATACTTGGTACCCAACTTTCTCCACAGAGTCGTCCAAAAGTGGCTAAGGAATTTCGTATCCCTATTCGAGACCATGCTTCGGGGAACGCCATGGAGTTTTACGATCTCTCGGAAGTAGAGATCAGCCACTTGAGATGCATCATACGTTGTAACACATGGCACGAAATGAGCCATTTTTGAAAAACGATCCACCACAACCATGATGGAGTCTTTTCCTCGTTGAGTCCTTGGCAGCCCGGTGATGAAATCCAAGCTGATGTCTTCCCATGGTGCATTGGGAACGGGTAGGGGCAGGTGCTTTCCTTGGGGGAGCGAATGTCCTTTAGCTAAATGGGAAGTATTGCAACGCTTGATGAAGTGCTCTACGTCCCGCTCCATCTTAGGCCAATGGTAGTGTTCTCTCATCATCATGTGAGTCTTGTTCATGCTTCCGTTTTTTTGTTTGATGGTGAAGGTGAAGGTTTGGATGTACTCGACCCATTTGGCATGACGGGGTCGGAGTTTATGTTGCCCTTGGATGTAATTCAAGGCCTCATGATTAGAATGTAGGATGAACTCTTTGCTTATAAGGTAATGGCGCCAATGTTCAAGGGATCGCACCAAAGCATAGAACTCCTTGTCGTAGGTGGAATACCGCCTCCTCGTATCATTTAGCGTTTCGCTAAAGAATGACCTCGGGTGCCCTTCTTGAGATAGGACTGTAACACCCCTATCCGTATAACCCGGAATTACACGTATTAAGGTGAAACGAGGGTTAAATAAAAATTTTGCTTGACATTTGAAAATTACAATTTCTTATAAATATTAAATTTACAGACTCTGGATCGCAACCCATTTAAAAATAATTTCAGAGTAATGCGGAAGTACAATAATAATTAAATCATGACACATTTAAATTCTTTGATGATCAAACATTTGCCTGCCATCCTTACATCTCCTCTGACTCAATGCCCTCCGGGAGTGGTTCCATCATAGTCTTCTTGTTACCTACGTGTAGTCAACGAAAAATACAAACTACACGCTCAGCGAAACCGCTGAGTGGTACCACGCTAGAATTGTAGAATAATTAACAGACATATACATATACATATATATACGTCCATAAGGTGTATAATAATATTCATGATATGGCACATTATATCATATGATCAATTTGATAATTAATGATGATAAATATTTATTGATAATTAAATGATGACACATTTAATCAATTTGCTTGTTCGTGAGGATGATTACATGACACCTATGTAATAGATATAATTGTTCTTGATGATGATTACATGAAACCTATGTAATTAATATATTTGTTCTTGATGATGATTACATGAAACCTATGTAATCAATATATTTGTTCTTGATGATGATTACATGACACCTATGCAATCAATGTACTTGATGATGATAACATGATGCATGATTCTAAGTCAACAAGGACGACCCATGCATTGTGAAATTCGCCCATTTGGTACGACGAACTCAGCGGCCTTAGTCTCACAAAGGAGACTAGAAAAATAGGGGCGGTACTCGAAAGCCTGAATACCATGTACGTACACTAAGCCCGGTCAGTGATGTCGGACTGATAAGTCCCGCACATCACGCTATAAGAGACGCAATAAAGCATGATCTCTTACGCATGCATATGATATGATATGCTACAATATGTGTGATGATATGAGTCATATGATATGTGCAATTTGTAAACAATATGAATGGATAAATATAATTTATTTTATTTGGGTGAAATCTGATAAAAATATCATTTAATTAAGCTACGGGGCTCGGAAAGGTCGACCGTTTGGCGCGACGGTCGGCCTTGATCTTCATCAGGTCAGATTGGCGGTTCACCGTGACGGTCGACCGTTGTTGACTAGCTGTGGATGGAGGACTTCGGCTAGCTGGCGGCGGTTGACCGTTCCGGTTGACCGTTCTGCTGGCAGTCGTGGTCCGTTTCAATGTTTAATACGACGGTCGACCGTTGATATTTTGAGTGTCCAAAATACTTCTTTAAGTCTTTTAAAGACGTTTTATTTACATATACATGTTGTTGGGTTGATTTCAAATGTTTATATATACTTATGTATATATATTAACTTTATGGATTTGGTGTATTTTGATCTCAACATATAGATGACCTATATATGTATCACATATATATTTTGGAATGATTTCAACATATGGATTAATATGTTCATGTATGTATGTGATGAATGATTCGACAAGTCTAACGCAAGGGTACAACCTGGAAATTATCGGCCGAAACCTTACGGATGAGCGGGAGTGGAAACAACATCGAAATTCACCAACTTTGTCATTCTCGTCACAATTGGACAGCCTACTGTATTTTGGGCATATCTCCATCGTTTCTTCACGGAATTGCAAACCGTTTGATTCTTTGGATTCCTAATATGTAAGGCTATAACTTTCGTATAGAAAGTATTTCGAGTTAACAGATGTAAGATAGCGTAAATTGGACCTGAAGTCAAGGGAAAGTTGTTGTCCAGAATTTTTGAATACTCCGGTGAACAACGGTTCCAACGATTAACTCATTAACTTCAATATTCCAACACCGAACCTTCTCTACGATACCTTCCGGATGTTCCTAATAATCGTTAGAGAGTTTATGGTAAGTGTTTGGAATGAAACAACATAATTATGGTGAGGGAACATATCCAACCCGAGGAGCTCCCCACCACTGGCGCAGTCCTGGTATTTTGGTCATATCTTCTTCGTTACTTAACGAAATTGCGAGCCGTTTGTTGCGCTGGATTCATATCGTCCGGGGCTACAAATTTGGTTCAGAAAGTATTTCGAGATAATGGATGGAAAATTACAGAACTTACGTAGAAGTGGATGTTGCGTTTGGAACTCATGATTTGGAAACTATGGATGGTTTCTTCATGTTTCTTCTTCTTCCTTGAACCATCTATGGAGGAGGGCGTTTTCTTCTCTCCTTGAAGTTTCCGACAGTGAGAGAATGGAGAAGGGAGAGATGAGATGATGGTGATGATGGTGGAACATGATGATGATGCTATGGAGTGGTTTTGGAAGTAATATAATGAGAAGATTTTTGGACTATCATGGCCTATTGGGCGGCTTTGTAGACTTTAAGAGATTTCCTTGGATTTGTTGTGAAGAGGGCTGCGTGATTGAGTAGTGTTTGGGGATTTTAAAATATTCCCCTACTCCGTAATTGATAAACTTGCTAAAACGGTACGCGCTTTTTCGCCCAAACTACTCCGAATTGAAAACGGATTGTGTTTTTGGAATGAGACTGTCAAAACTAGAATTTTGACATAATCAAAATATTTTTCTGAGAACTTTTATTTTTCTCAGTGTTCGGGTGTGTCTCAGTCATAAATTAATTTTATAATATGAATGAGATATAAATATATGGATTAAACCCAAAAGATAAATATGGTGTTGTCAAGTGTCCAAGATTAATATTTCTAATCTTAAGAAATCACTTTTGAATTGAGTTTATTTTATGGGTCAAAGTTACAAATTTTAATATTTAAAATTGTCATAGCTTGAAATCTATAAATCAGATTGGTTCATAAAATGTACCGTTAGATTCGTCATTTCGAGACATATACATAAAAATAAGTTTTTAATAAAAATTCATTATTTTGAAAATTCATTTATTTTTGGTCAAACGTAAAAATATTCCTTATTGGACAAAAACTATTTTTGTTTAATAATAAATTCTAGTCCTTATTTTTTGGCGTTACATTTCTTCCCCCCTTAAAGAAATTTCGTCCCCGAAATTTCCTTAGGCAAAGTCATTTAAAATGATGATGTACAAAATCATGAATATCCATTGTTTTTATAAAACACTAATTTCGAAAAGTTCTTTTTCTCTTTGTTTTGTTGAGTGTCATGAGTATGACATGTTCTCTTTCGAGAAAGGATATATGCGGATGATAGATGTAACGTGTTTGGATTTCTTTCATGACGACTTGCGTCGAATATATACTCTTAGACTTTCTCTTGTCGTGGTGTAGGAGTTTTCAGAAATTCTTATATGGGTTGCATTTCGTGAATGTGGGGTAATTTACAAAATTTCCCTTTTTTGAAATTCTTCTAGAACCATTCTTAGACGACTTTGTCTGGAATGTTGGTTTCACAAATTACGCTTCGTTATTTACAAGCTGGAATGAATTGTTTTCATGTTTGACATTTTTACATAATGGTATTTTGGGGAATGACTATTACCATAGTCATCATTCTAAGTTACTTAGGGTATATAATAAATCAAATCATAAAGTAGAAGAATCTATGCATATGAAATTTGATGAAACCGATCCCTTTGGGTCGAGTAAGGTAATTGCAGGTTCAAATGAAGAAGAACAGGAAGAAGAAATCCTGGAAATTCCTGCACAAGAAGAAGAAAATGAAAAGAAGGAACTACCAAAGGCTTACAAA